TGACTGTACTGGTCAGCTGTGCTGTTTACATAACTGAAGTCCTGCTGTCTGCATCGCTGCACGTAGTAATTGCTGCAGACACAGCAAGTCCTTCTAGCTTTTTCATTGCCATACTGCTTGACTGTTTCTGTTCAGGGCAATAGTTGTCTGATGACCACTTGATTGAAACATGAAGTAATACAGAAGTTGTACTGCTTTGGGGAGACTTGCCCCATTCAGTGAGGAGGGTGAAGACATCAGCTGAATAGTCAAATGTGTTTTTTTTATTCTGTGTATAAATTAGTTTAATTCTACTTTGTGGAAAGAAAAACTGCTCATTGCAGTTTTATTTAAACAATGTGCTTTTTGTAGTTTTGAAAAACAGGTGGTAAATTGACCTGTTTGGTTAAACAGTTCAAGGTATGGGGCAGAGCATGTTTAGATGGTGATTTTGATTTTCATTATAGACTATTTTGGTTTGAGAGGAGGGAAAACTGAAGTGGTGGGGAGGTTATCAGTATGCTCAGGGAGAGAAGCAGGAATACACCTTTAATGCTTCATTTACTTCCATGCATTGAGTTTCTGAAGGACCTCAGCCAAAGTCAAATCACATGTTGAATGCTGGTGTTCCTGGCAGGGGGGGGAATATATCACCGGTGAAATACTTAGGGCTGGAAAAGAGGAGAAGGAAGAGACATTAGTACTTGTGTTGCAGGTAGGAAATGATAAGGTGTGGAGATATTTACTGTATGTTGGTCTGGAGAAGATTTGGGACCTAAATCATGTCTTGTAAAATTGTCTTGCCTTTAAGGCATCACCCTAAGTCCTGTGCTCAAGCCAGTGAAGACCATTATGAGCTGCATCTGTTAATTCTCTAATTATCTAGATAATATGGGTACCGCAAGACAGGCTGGTGATACAGGTCACTGTCAGGAGTTCGTTGTAGATTTTAACCTTTTAGGATTTGTTCTCACTACTTCTCCACCAGCTTTGAAGTGTCATTCCTTTCCTAGCAGGATTGGTCCAACGCCATTAGAAAAACTCTGGATTCTTTCACTGTTGCTTCCAAATCTAACGGAAGCCAACATGGCTTAGGAGTGTTTACCTCTTTGTTTGTGCATTGGCATTATCATTGAACTTCACCAGTGAGAGACTTTGCCAGAACTGAACACAAAATGTAAATGAAAGTAGATGTATTGTTGGAGACGCTGGTAAACAGTCTCTGAGTGGCTGTACATCAAGGCACGCTGGAGGCATAAGGGGAAGTTGCTCTTGTTTTGCTGCGAGAGCTCTGAAACACATTCTGTAGTTTCTCTTACTGCCTGAATAGCCCATGGACTGAATCTGAAAATCACATTTTTCATTAGAATAGCCTGGTTTGTGCCTCCTGCCAGCAGTGATTGTCTGGCTGAGCAAGGACATCCGCTTTGACACCAAGAGTATGAGGGCTGCCTGTAGGAGGTTGAAATTCTAGTTTCCGACCTGATTTATAACTGGTTTATACTTCAAGCTTTCCTGTTTAATAGTTAAATAAACTGTTTAATGTTTAAAAAAGTAAAATTCTTTTGATAATTAAACCAGTATGCAGGGAAAAAGCTGAGCACAGCCACATACTGGCTAAGCCTCTCGGTGCGTTCCCACAGTTCGGATCCCAGTTCCACGGTGAATGAAGTCCTGGTTGCAGAGTACTGCAGAAAGCCCACGTAGCTCAGCCCTGCGAGCACTCACCTCGTGAATGTGTTCTTGTATCCACTTGTCTTCTGTTCCCAAAGGAGACTGACAAGACGGTGATGAACATACTGCAAGGGAGAAGTTCCGCTTAGTGTTGGGGGAGGTAGATAGGATGTCTGGGCAGAATTTTCCATCTACCTATCTCTGCTGTTGCTCTGCTACTATGTAGATCTCAAACTGCAAGATGATTTACACAGGCCCTGTGTACCGGCTTGGTTTGATACTCTTACCTGCAACACAGCCTGTACATGGCACTCTGACACTCTGCAAACGATAAGGTTTCCCTGATAATGACAGTTATCAAAAACTTCTAGTTAGCAAGGATATCTGCCTCTTTCTCATTGCCAGTGGGCAGATTGTGAAGATATACACTTGGTTCTAGATAAAAGAGTTGTGTTTTTTCCTTTTTTATAGAAATAATGCAGCACGGGAGTGGGAGTTGAAGGAGTCAGAAGGTGAGAACCCTGCTTCTGTAAGCCCCCTGCCCTGCAGCAGCCTCCTACAGGTTGTCAGGAGAAGTCTTTCCTCTTGCTGCATTCAGGACATGGGAAAAGTCATGCAGCAATGTATCGTATCATAATCACAAAGAGGAAATAACGGCACACATCTGACAAATAGCCAGAATAAGAGGATGAATTGCATCTTTTCTGTTCCTGTGATGTGCACAGCATCTTCAAAAGCAGGGTAGTAATTTATATAGCTGTGAGAAGCAGAGATGCAGCTGAGTGTGGAATCTGGCCTCAGAGCTATAGGCTTAATATTACAAGTAGCCTGTAGCAGAATGGCTGTCGCTTGAAGTAAGAAAACAATACAAAGTGTTTTTGGGAATGGAAAAAATCCCTAATCAAAAAAGTGAGAGCATGTAGGCTGCAGACAGAGATTCTGACTGATGAAAAAAGTTGCAGTGCTAATGAAGGTTGTTGAAGTGGGTAAAATAAAAAGTAATTGGTCACCAAGGTGTCAGAGTAAAACCAGCGTACAGATTTGATCAGCCTCACAAGAGTTCATATACACAATTGGGAAGAACAAGTAGGCAAGAAGAGATGGAGATGGGCAATTTTAGGAGATTGTGAGAAAGGGGAGTGTAAAGGGCATTGCTGCCTTGAAAATTACTGTTGGCTGCTTTGCAGCAGTGTCTTCTAAGCTCATTAACAAGTTAGTGATGATTTTGCTGGCACAGTTACTCTTTTGAATCTTTTCTTTCATTTAGTGTTTTTGCTTAATTATATTTTATTGGAAGGGCTTGTTCAGGAATGCTGGCTCTTAAAAACAAACAAACAAAATGCACACGCACCAGTATTGATCCCTGAATACTTCTTGTTGTGCAGGCATGCTCCAGAAATGTCCATCCGTGATTCCATTTGGATTTCTCTGCTCTTTGAGTGGAGGGCTCCTTGCATCATATACCCTGCTGTTTATAGAGGTGGCTGTACATATGGCATGGAAGCACAGCCAGGCTTTGAAATTGCCTGTGCTATACAGGCACAGTGGGGAATCAAGCTTAATTTATGGAAGTTTTCCATGGGTCTTGGAGATGCCCTGGCTTTCTGTGGCCAGAAAAGATTGCTAAGTACAGAGGCTGGGAAACAGCCAGGTGAGGCACTGGTAGCAACATGCTCTGTTATATTAACGTAGGTGAAAAATGCTGCCTTTGCTTGCTTTGCTGAAGAGTAAGTTGTGAAATACCTGAGGTTTCCTGGTGATCCTTTGACAGTAAGAACACAAGTGGCCCTAGTAATAAATAACTACTGCATGCAGTACACCCTGTTAAATGTACTCACGTTAAAATATCGAGTAATTCAAGTGAAAGAGAATCTGGTCTCTAGCCTAGGTGAGGGTTCTGTGGTCAGGACAGAAAAGAAATAGTCTTCTGAGATCTCTCTTTATGAAATAGTCTGCCCTGCACAAGTGGCAAAAAATTAGATGTAGTGCTGTTTGTTCTGGTTTTCCCAGATGGTCAAAGCCTGCTGATTTTTACAGCTGGTATTGGCTCCTTGTGTGTGGATCCTTCTGTCAAGTGTAGTTCAGAAGGGAAACTTGAGAGAAATGTTGCTGACAGCAAGCAAGCCTGAATCCTCTCTTTGGCTCTTACATCTCAGGTTCACAAAAGCAATGAAGAATTTTTTCTTTGCGGTCACTGAGGATATAGGGACAGTCTGAAAATTCATGTACAATTAGCCATCTTTTTAACACCAAAGTTAGGACTACACAGAAAAACTGGTGCCTTCAAGAAGCCCATGTTATGATATGAGGGAGGATAAAAGGGGAAACAACTGTTTTTTTTTCTGATGCCTCCAGCCTTGTTATACTCAAGTGTTACCAACATTGCTGTAGTGACTCCTGAGGAATAGGAGTGGTAGACACAGTCTTGATAAATGGAACTTCATTGCTGTCACTGTTGCCTTTCCAGCAGCCTCAGCAGAATGGCTAGAAATACAGAAAGGCAGGGCTGACTGACAGTGTCTCTCCTCAAGGTGATCTGTGTGGACAGATGTCAAGGAAAATTGACAGCAGCATCTGAAGGATCATTATCTGGGAGCATCCTTTTCTGTGATGTGCAGGCTCTAATCTCTCAAGCCGTTTTCAATAGGAGTTTTTCTACTGAAGTAATTAAAAAAGTACAGTTATGTGCAGTACATCTTACTCCTGTCCACAACCCATGGCCTGGTGCTGATGGCTTATTCTCTCCTGAATTTGGTGGAGTCCTGCTTCACACTAAGAGTGATTGTGAGCAAGCTCAGGAGAAAGTCAAAGTCAGCTTGCAAAGAATATCCCTTGCATGGGAGGATTTGCAGACAAGGCCAGAGCTGACATAGTTTCTAGGGTATGGTGCTCCCTGCTTGCAGTGAAGACTAAAATCAACCAAAACGGTCATGTTCCTGAGTTGCGACTCTGTTATGGTCATGGTCTAGGCATTGCTGGCCTCTCTGCAACAGTTGCATAGAACTACCAAGACTGTTGCGTGCACGCTTGCATATGTGTAGGTATATGATAGGGAAACTTTCCTATCAGATCTTAAAGTATGTCGTAAGTACACGTATGGGCTTTGTAGATGAAACCCAGAAGTAGTAAGTGATTCCTGAAGATTAAAAAGCTAATCAGAAGTGGAGCACAGAATTTAACTACTGCTTGTCAGCTGCTTTGTTGTTTTTCCTAGTAAGTGTTTGCAATAAATAAATAAATAAATAAGTAACATTTATAGATGGCTGATTTGGATGTATACAAATCTAAACTAGCACACTTACTGTTCTGCCTACCATTGACCAACTTCTTGATATGTTTGTTTCCAGGAACACCTGTCTGGTTCTTTGTGAAAATCGCTCCAATCCGAAATGAGCAGGATAAAGTGGTTTTATTTCTTTGCACTTTCAATGACATAACGGCTTTCAAGCAGCCAATTGAGGATGATTCATGTAAAGGTTTGTCTTTTTCACAATTATATATTTATGCTGCTTCTGTTCATTTGCTCTGGTCTTGAAAGAGATGAAGTCCTTTAAATACCAAAGCCAAAGGATTAGACGTTAAAATAACTTGTCATTATGCCAATATGGACTGCGTATGTGCGAAGAATGGCTGCAAGTTTCCTAAAGGGATTGGCTGTGGCCTGCACTAGAACGGGTCATTGCTAATGAAACCCCCAAGTGCTGCAGGAAGCAGAGTTTACTTAGCAAATAGGTGCTGCTCTTCCGTTTAAACTCATTATTAATCCCCAGGTCAGCACAGTCTTCAAGCACAGTGTTGCTTAACAGTCTCTTTGATCTCAGAGGGAATTGAAGGGTATTGGCCCTGTACAAACTGAGTATGACACTTTATGCAGAAATGGAGATATTAACCCTATCTGAGTCTAACCACTATCTGAATTATTTCATTCTGCCTGTCTTGACATGAATTAGCATTCTTACGGGATTCTTATATTAAAGTTCAGGACTAGTGTCCTTTTACATCTGTGAAAAGATTACTGTAGTCTTAAATTGAATCAGGTTCAAGCTGTCAGGTTGAGTGAAGTAGCGCTGCTGTGTTTTGCTGTTAACCCTTTACTGAGTTACACCCTAGAAGCCTGGAAGTAAACTCAGCTGTGAGAGAGGCATAAACTTGCACTCACGTTCAGATCCTGTCAAAAACAGACCTTTTGTACCCACATGGAGAATTACAGAGACTTGCGTCCTCTGGGGGGGAAAAGGACGTAAGTTCTCCTGTTGTTTGCATTTTTGTAGTATTTAATAATATTTGTCGTATTAAATTAAACAGGAAACTTACTGTGAAGGTGAACTGATTTACATTTATTCTCAAAATATTAGTCTTTAAAAATGCAGTTTCTCGAAGTGGAAACACCTGTTACCATGAAAAAGGAAGTACAACCTTGACAAACATACCCTCTTCCAAGTTACGTTTTTTTTTTTTCTCCTTTTGAATGCTATTTGTTTCGGTTTTCAGTGCTCTAATTAAATGAAAAAAATGAGTCTTCTTGGAAAGGTTGGGTCTACAATATTTTTCCCCTGACTAGTTGTCTTCACTGAATCCTGATGAGGACTGACATCATAGATAAATCAGCATGATGCAGTAAAGCTGTCTCTCATTTATTTGGTGGGAGTGAAAGCCTTTGCTTGAGGTAGTCAGTTGATAAGCAGGGCATTCAGGGGTGGCAGCTTTGCCTTTTCTCTTTGGTTTTGCAGAAGATCCTTATTGTAGTAGTGACCTGTGCTCTTTTGAGAAGTTTGTCCACTTTCAGCACAGGAAACACTGCAACCTCTTTTTGGTTTCAAGAGAAGTATATTGAAAGAAGAATTTATTTATTGATTTTTTTTTATCTCCTGTGTTGGATCTTGAGATCACACTATTCTTGCAGTGATCATAGCGATTATTGGCAGGTCCATATCTAAAACAACAATGACTAAGCCGAAGTACAAATGCACTAACTTGCAGAGGTGCTAAGCAAAATTTCTTCATGTGGCCCATGAAAACTTGCTCAATTACTACTGAAAGTTGCAGACAGAGCAGAAGAACTGGACATATTATTTAGCAGCCACTTATTGACAGCTCTGTACTCCCTCCCCGAGCACTACAACTCTATGTATGGAAGAGTTTGTGTACTAAATAACTGTTCCAAATATTGTTTCCAAATCTCCTAAAATTACTGAAGTTGCACCGGTTTCATGCCAGTAGAGTTCTCTGTTGCTGTATATGCAAATCAAATGTGATACAAATGAAATTACACATTCTTTTCTAATCCTTAATTTATCCTGTGTCTTTCTCTCTTCTATAAATTACTTCCTATAGGCTAGCTTTGCAATTTTGTTGTGTGCTCTTATTAAGTGATATTATGCCAGTCACTTGGTGGCTAGATGAGCAATTCCTTGTAAAATAAAAACTAATTTGCCAAACAGAATGTTACATGCATGACCGTGTCTTTAATATCAGATCTCATTGTGCAACTGGATACTGTGAGGGTGGGAAAAGCAGGTGTGGAGTGTTAGACAATTGATTGTCTCCAATGCGTTCTGGGACTCATGGAGGGGAAGAATATTTTTGGAAGTTCCAAAAGAGGTAAAATTGTATTAGCTGTTTCTAAAAATCACTGCTTTTACAGACCTGAGCTTTGCAGAGGACACATTCTTTGCACCATATACAACATCACATTGGAGATTTGTAGCATATATTTGAAGGACAGCATTTTTTGTAGGAACATCCCTAACATTCTAGAAACAAATGAGCTCCCAGTCTGAAACTTAACATTGAATTTACATATTTATTGTTTTTAATTTAAACTGAAAACTGATTACTAAACTAATTATTTTTCCTTTTTCACTTTCAATCAGCTTTTATCAACTACTCCTCTTTTATTGTGTTTATACATGAGATCAGTCTCGTGTATTTGACCAGTTAATATATAATAGGATGCTTCCGAATGCAGAAATTTTGTTAATGCTGGTTATTTGCGTAGTTGCTGAGTGGCACGGTGTGAAGTATTTGAGTTTTTCAAAATTAATGCCTGTATGTCTATGCAGAGAAAAACATTATCCAGTACAAGAACATGGTTCATTTAAAGAACAGCTAATCTGTCAGGCTGAGCCTGCTTAGCTGCACTATATCTCAGTTTTCTATCACTTTCTGGCAATTTTAAGCATGACTCTTCATCTACAAATGATGCAGTCACTCCTGAAGTGCAAAGTATTAAACCATAATGAAAGGTGATTGACTTGTACACAAAAATTAATAGTCATTTTTTATCCAAAGCTGATTCAGAGAAAGATAGAAGGTCCTAGTACCATTTATCATTCTAAATCCTTTTTTTTTATTTTTTTTAAATTAATAGTTTCAGAGATCGAAATAAATGAAACAAAAATATTTCTAAAGTCAAGCAAAAAGTAGGTACTAATTGTGTTGTTTCAGATAATTTAGTAGATATTTATTTTATGACTGCTATGGAAGTTAAGTAAATTTGCTTTTAAGTGCAGATGCTTTAAAAATAGTATGTTCTAAATAAAGCAACTTAAAAATAGTATGTCAGTGATGTTGATGATATAATTTTTTTAAACAGCCTCTTTCCATTTTTCCCTGTATACTTTCTCCTTTAAAAAGAAAACACAAATTGGGAAGAAATAAGTAGGTGAAAGTAGCCTTGAAGAAGTAGGCAAAATCAAGTGATATCATAGCTAAATTTGGCTTGGGAAGTGATAGGTCACCATCTTCGCTGAATTTTAGAGTATATGCTATATTCTGGAATTACAGTCTGTCTGTATGTGTCGTTTTCGATTTGAGATCCAACACACCAAGTATGAGACATTTGAGAATAGTGTATAAAGCAGAATGCATCACTTTATGAAAACAATAACTTGTGCAAACAAATAAAGCCTGCATGCAGTCTGAGCAGCTAGTAGGAAACAGGTTTTGCACATGTGAATACGATGAGAACATAATGAGATGCATCTATGCTGCTTTATAAAAGTTTGGGAATTGTTTTGGATTATATCTATATATATTTTATTTTTATAAAAAAGGTGCTATCAAATTCAACATCACTGAATCGCATGAGAGAATGGTTGTTAGCCTCATAGCTGTTTTAACCTCCTGTGCTTTGTAGCAATCATCAGTTATCTCCTCTGCTGAAGCTTTATTTCATTTTGCAGCTAAGCTCCCCTTTGCATCACAAGCAGGGCTGCACAAAAAATAGTATTTTGATTGCCTCCTTCATCTCAATTCAGGGAAAACTCCAGCCTAATGTTTCATTTTTTTTTTCTTCTTGTTTCTCTATTTTTTGTTTTTAATTTTTTTTGTTCTGTTTTTAAAGATGTATTTATATGAGCAGAGCCAGTATTTGAAATATTTTGATTGTTATACTTTACTTTCATCTAGATGAATTGGTTTCTTAAAAAGGAAGCAAATGAAAGGGAAGCAGTGAGTATATTAAAAACTTCAGTATGCTTTTCCAGTCCAGATGGAAAAATAACACAGTTTTAAGTTATGAAGTTTCAAAGGAAAGGAGCATTAGGACTGCAGAGAGGCATGATGGATGTAAGCAGGGACCTTTGATATGCCAGAAAGCAATGGTGGTACCAGTGGAGGTGATAACTGCTGGAATGCTGATTTGCTTGCATTTACACATTTCTGTGTGAACAACAGACGTGGCCAAAGTTACTTTTTCTCTAGCAGTCATGTCTTTCTGGTCTCACTCTAGGGATGGTTTAACAGTCATGAATCAGCAACATGATAACAAGGATTCTGTAACTGCCATGGTGCTTAATGTTTAAATTTGTGAGTCATTATTATCAAATAGAGGATACTTATAGGCAACAAATGATTACCTAAAATAAATAATAAATGTTGCTGTGGATTGAGTATCAACAGATCATACTCATCTCAAAATACAGAAAATTGGTTTATTTGGCTTGAACAGATTGTTAATGAAGTGAGATGTTGATGTGTAAAATATCCCAAAGGTGTATTCTGTTGCCATGATTCCCCATGAAACAAAGTTAAGGGGACAGCTTTTATCCCTGTTGCAGGCATGTTGTTGACTTGTGTTTTCAGGAGCAGTTTTTAGTTACATTTTTACTATGAAATAGTGAAAGACTTGAAAGAGCATCATAGAATGCAGGACAGCTGAAGTTAGCACTGGAATCTTGAAGGCTCTTCATCTTTTTGAAGCTGGAGACATGAGTGCCATCTGATTGCTTTGCAGAAAACATCATGCAGGGACAGAAGTGGAAAAGGAGACCAATAATTATAAAAAAATATGTTAGAATCAAAGACATGAAGAAGCACAGGCAATGCAAAACCATGGGGCTGGCATCCAGCTTTATGTTTTGTTCCTGAATTCCAGGCTGTCTTCTCTGAAGCTATGTGAGCTCTTGCCTGTTTGTGGAATATATATACCTATATAAGAATCCCATAGAGTCATTGGATTCCAGTTTAATTTCTGTTTTATCAATTTCCAGAGGAAGAGAATGGATGTAGGGATCTTGCAACTAACTGATTATTTTGAAAGAGAACTTGTAATCCATATCATCCAGTCCTCTAGTCTTAGCAGGACTAACATCAATATGTTTCTACACCACTGTGGAACCTATTTTCTTTATTTCTCTAATCAGCCCTGTAACATTAAGAAAATAATGTTTATGTTCTCTTTTGTGGCTAAAGTCCAGTATTTGACCTGTGTTCACTGAAGCAGTCTTCACAGCTGTGGGTTGCCTCACTTCTTGCTGTAGGTTGTGTCTGCCTTTAGCATCCTGAAGGACAAATTGTAATACATTCAGTACATACTATTGTCTTTTCAAGAAGAGTTAGAGAAGTTATCCTTCTGTAGGATTAGTGCTGACTTTCCATCTCCTTTCCATTTTTTCCCCTATGCCACAATGTGTAGATGCAATATAATTATGCTTCAGAGTTCCCACAATTTTTTCTTCCTTTCATTGAAAAAAAGAAAAAAAAAAGAGGAAAAAAAGAAAAGGCAATACAAGAAGGAGAATGTCCTGTCCTAAAGATGAGATTCATACACCTGGGATACAGACAGGGTGACTCAGTTTTACACATTTCATCATACACTGTCATGTGCTACTTCATGCTGTGTTCCTGTGTGCTCACCCAGTGTGTGGGAGAACACAGAAACATATTCCAAGCCTCTTGAATTCAGGTCAGCAGTGGTTCAGAAAAAGCTAAAAAGCCCTGCCTGTTGACAAAGCCTCTTGCTTGTACAGTTACATCATTTTCAGGTCAGAGTTTGGTGTATGTGGTAAGAGCTAGCATGTTTGTAGAACAGCTCATTTGCATACCATTTAGGCACCCACGGATAAGAAATTTGCAGCATGAAGCACAGGGTAGGAGCTTACAGGAGGTGATGTGACAGAGGAACAAGTTAAGCTCTGCCACTCTGCCTTTTAAACGGAGATTGAAGAAGATTGGGTAGAGTACATGACGGTGCTCAGCAGTCGTAGCCACAAACCATGTCCACAGAGATGCCTGGCAGTGTTTTTGTGCAAGATAACCCAGGTGAGGTGCACCTCCTCCCTCTCTGTATTTACACCGAAATAGCCTGGTTATTAGACATCCCGCTGACGGGAAGAAAATCGACACTCAAAGTCTGCCCTCTGTTTTTGAATCAACTTTAGCATCCTTGAGCAGAATGGCTTATCAGTCTGTTTTGGGTTGGTAAAAGGGGCTATTTTAGTTGGGATTCAAGCTATCGTGTGCCTGGTGGGGGAGGCAAACAGCTCCCAAAGGAAGCTTCAGCTCCATCCCGGGGGCTGGCGCTGGCCAGCAGCGGGGCCTCGCTTCAGCACCACGGACAGCGCCCGGCCGGAGCGGGGCATGCCCGGGGATGGGGCTCGGGCGCTCCTCTCCCGGCCTGGAGCGCGGCTCTCCTGCTCGTATCCCCTACACCAGCCCCCTCCGGGCCTCATCAGTCCGCATTTACAGCAATGAAAGCCTCCCCGTGCCGCTGGTCTTCTCTCTTGGTCCTGCAAAACAGGAGGGAAATGTTGCGGTGGTTGCGTGGAAGTTTGGTGAAAGCCAAACTTTTGGGGCAATGTAAGTTGCTGTATATGGCTTGTGCTTCACAAAGGCTGTTCTGATTACGTCACCTGAAGATCATCCCGCCCGATCCATTCCTTTAACCTCTGCCACCTTTAATGAGAACATGGTAAGGCATTCGTGCTTCAGCCTATCAGTGGTGGTTGGATTTCTTCACGTATTATGAAGAATACTGTTTATAAGTCTATCTATTACATAGAAATAAATAAAATCTACCACCTTCTATGGAAATGTATGTGAAATTAAAGTGCTTTGGGTCAGGTTTACAACAGATACAGACTGACCTCAGTTGAGGTTCTGCCATGTTGATTTGTTTCTTTGAGAAATACTGCTTCACAGTAGGTAATCTTATATGGGTTTACCAGGAAAACTTGGCTTACTGGGTAGAAATCACACAATCTACTTGTTGCTGAATATTGCCAAAAAGAGTGAGCTAATTTTATTCAACTTGGCTATTAAATTACTCGTGCCAGACTTCCTTTAAAATATGCTTTAAGATCTAAGAAAATGTTCAATTGTGTTCTTGATTTTAGAGAGGTATGATTGAAATTATTCTTGCTTTTAATAAATGCATTGTGTGGAATATGTTTAAAGGAGAAAATGCTAACATCTCTTTTCAGGTATGGTCTGGAAGACCTTATTCAATAGCCAGTTCAGGCAATTTGTTAATTTTTTGTGTTCACCTCTCAAATTACCAAATATGCTTCTGCAACCTCCATCACAGATGTCAAGCAAGGATACGTTCAATGTACTGGATGGTATTTTAACCGCCCATGTTCCTTTACTCGTCATGGACCATTGCAGGCTAAGCTCCAGACTGGTCTTTAAAAACAGTCACTGCTAATAGTATTGTATCTTTTGGTGATGAAATTATAATGTAGGGAGAACTTTTTCCAGAAGCAGGATCTCATTAAGAACTGAGTCTGCAAAGTGCTGAACATCCTCAGTTGGAGTAGGAGGTGAGACTGCTCAACAGTTCCAGGTGGTGCTAGCATTTTTCAAGACTGGGACCAAATGCACTGATATTTTCCTTTCAGACTACCAAAAATATTCAGACATATACTCTGCCTGACTCTTTTTGTTATGCCAAAGCACTACACATAAAGGTTATAGTTAAAACTAGTTCATGTGACTGTCATTCAAGCCTTCTGCTTTGAAGGGTATTTGAAATGACTGTGAAAGTATTCTGAATTAAAATTCACCATTTGAATTCTCTGCAAGAACTTGCTAAATGTTTTATTAGGGTTTGAGAAAATCTATTTGTGTATTTTCCCCTTTTGTTTACAGAGGATAAAATTAATGATTTTGTTTGTTTCACTTTGTCTGCTCTGCTTTTTATAATGTTATGTATTTTGCTTTGCTTTTGCCAGAACTACGCTCAGTACATCTGAGGCCAGATTCACTTCTGTTACAGGCAGCTGTAATTTTCATTGTGCCTGATTCTATTCCTATATCTTTATTAGTCTGGAGAGTCTTCTGCAGGGTTGTGAGATCCAAATCTGGCCATTGAATTTAATAGAAGATTATTGTGAAGTGGACATTTATCCTTACAAAAGATGCAGTTTGTGTAACAGCACTCTTGTAGAGCCATTGAATACAAAGTCACTGCAGTCATTGTGGGTTTTATTACTTTACTATCCTGCCACCTTTTTTGTGTCTTGCTTTTACCTCATACATGGTTAAATTATACTCCCTTGTGGTCAATACTAACACAGATTACTCATTTTTAATTTTAACTTTTTTTTTTTTTTTTAAAGATAAACTTTATGTGATACACTTCCGGATTTTTTTTTTTTTTTTGTAATGTGTATAATCTTGTATGTTTTTTTGAGGTTGGGGAAAGTTTGCTCGCTTGACCCGTGCCCTCACAAGCAGCCGAGGAGTGCTTCAGCAGCTTGCTCCGAGCGTGCAGAAAGGAGAGAACGTTCACAAGCATTCACGACTTGCTGAGGTAATGCTTCCTTTTTCCAAGAAACAGCAAAGAAAGGTGCTTAGCTTTTGTGGGTATGCTGTCTCCAAATGAGCTGAACACACTCTGTCCCTCTTGCCCTGGGATTCTGAAGCCTGGTGGCAGGCACAAGAGCTCAGCAGTATGTCATGTGCTGTGAAATGTCTGCTGTGACGGTGGAATGGAAACTGGTGTTTAGAAGAGACTTAATGAAACCTAACTGCTGTTTTGGCTTCTGTATCTCAACAAAATCTTACAATGGCATTATTATTAAAATAATACATTTTCTTTATTTTCCTTTCTTCTGAAGGTCTCAGTGCTAGTAGGATCTTGAACTATTTGCTTGTTTAAAATTGAGGTGAGAAAAACTAAGACTAGCACAGAAAGAAATTCTGGAGAATCATTGACACAGTTGTTCTCTGCAGTCATATGTGTATAGTTCTCTTTTAGTAGGATGCCAATGTGCTTTACAAATTGGTTAAAAGTGTTTAAGGTACTGCTTTTGTGGGCAGAACAGCTATAAGGTGACACAAGCAATACTGCAGACAACAGAAAAATGAAATTTTGTAGTTCAAGTAGACTCTGAAAGTTTTGTGAAAAGCTCAAGGCAGAAAAGAGGCTTCTTGATTGAAGTACCAGGGTTTTAGGGCTTTCGCCACGAGGGGGAGAGACTGTCCTGAATTTCCTGTAGCTGTTTCTAGGACCAGTAGCAGGGTCTTCCTGGTGTAAAAAAAAAAAAGAAGATTGGGGAAAGTCTTGTTGTGGTGTTAATGACAGTATGACCAATACAACATGGCATTCCTGTATCACCTATTGCTGTCAATGCCATGGCAGCAGCTGTGATTCTTGACCATAATTCTTAGTCTTTCTTTGTAGCTGGTGATGAAAGCCATTGACGGGCTCCATGAGTCTACATATAGTCAGTACTCCTTAAGTTTGTCTTGTGTATGATTTGGTTTCTATGCAAAACATACAGCTCCTGCTCAAGCCTGCATTATTATCACACTGTGACCATGAAATTCCCATGGACAGGAGCTTACCCGTTCTGTATTTAATACAGATGCACTCCAGAGTGGAAATCTGATTTCTGTTGTGTGCATTTTTGCAGAAAATAGCTTAGATTGTGCTAGCACAGGGGAGGGGCAGACATTCACGTGGGCACCATGCTGTAGGAATACCATGTGATTATCACATTTCCACCCTTAGATTGTTCTAGTGTACTAGAATTTGGGACATTCTCCCTCATAATCTAACTCAAGATTTAGCAGTAAATAATCCTTTCTCTTTAGATGTTTGCCCTTGAATTTTAGTTCATGCTAAAATTTAGGCAGTAGAATATATATAAGGCAGAGAATCTGAGGTTATTCTGTTTGGCTCTTTGAATCTCAGTCAGGCTATGTTGCTGAAACATCTTGCTGGCTGATATGTTAAACAAGACTTTGCACGTATTCTAACTGGCACAGTCAGTGGATTCATTACAAATAATAAAGGGCAAGTGTACAGTTTACGTGTCTGAAATGAGTTTCTGTAATTGCTGACTGAATATTGCAGTCGTTATTTTAAAAAGAACATTAGCCCCAGCTGTGATGTTAGGCACCTTGTAGTATATCTTCTGTAATTCCACTAAAGTCAATAGAATGGCACTAGAGAAAAGCAGAGTGCAGATAATCACACAGACAAGCACACTTTTCTTCCTGAGAAGACAAGGGTTGGCAGGCTTCTTATTCTACAAAGCTCTCCCCATAATACTGAACGTGGGATCTCTAACTGTTCCCCACTGTATTTTCAAATCTCTTATTTTTTTCCTTCATTTCTGCAGTGGCCTATTTTAAATTTTTAAGCTCAAATGAGTGTGCATCCTATTTCTTTTATCTATTTACTATGGCATTTCACATACATCTTCCCTTTGCTTGGAAAATTTATTGGAAAATTATTAGTGTTAATCCATTATTACTTATATTTTTGCAGAGCTGAGGAGCCAGTTGTGTCCTAGAATCTGAATGGGGCAAGGTGTTGTACAAACACAAAACACAAGCCTGCCATGAGGGCTTACAATTTATGTTACTGTTTATGATTAATTAGTTTTAAAAAGGGATTATTGAAAAACAGCTTTGTTTTATCCACAGGCCATGGATAATACAAGCAGTGACTGTTAAGCTTCAGTCACTGTTTTTTGGCAGGGTGTGTAGATTTGTCTAGCATGACTTGCCTATTAGCAATCATGTAAAAAACTGCTTAAATTTATTATGCAATTACTGCAGGGGTGTTAGGTATCTCTGAGAGTCCATTTTGCAATGAGAATACAAAGTAGTTAATATGTTTTGGTGACTTTATTACTAAGGAACTAATTGTAGGAACCAATGTTTCTTGGTCATTGTAGAGTGTGTGTGACCTCTGCATCCATGGTATTAGCTGATATATTCTGTACACTTACCAGGAAGCTCTGGGTAAACAAGATTGTGCCATAATTTTAAAAATGTAGTAGTTATGAGGAATAAAAGCAGAAAAATTATAGTGGTGCTTAGCAGCATTGCCTAATCAAGAATTTTCTGCCCTTTTTTTTTTTTTTTTTTTTTTTTGTAAACCCTGTTTACCAGGGACTTATAACTGCCATTAGTATCTACTTCAAGTAGAGACTTAGCATCTAGCTCTTGGCTTGGGAGCAATTTGTGTGGGTGCCTGTAAGAACAAAAGCAAGGGAGAATTAGACAGAGCAAACATGCAGTTGCAAATGCAGAAAGGGGGAGGTTAAGCTGAAAATGAATGATTGTTTTTTCCCCAGTCATGCAGTCTTAAAAATAAATCATTGTAACCACTTGTTGATGCACTTTTGTAAGTCCTGACTGGTGGTATATTCACTGTTTTTTAACAAATCTAGGATAAATGTGTTTTATGTTAATAAAGAAAGAAAGAACACAGACTTGTGAAACCACTGTTGAAATTTGTTATTTCTGCTTTTGAAGTAATATTCTTTGGCTTTAAAGAACGATTAAAACATCATGCATCATTACCGCAAATAATAAATGCAGATAATGTGACTGTAGTCGCTGATGAATCATAAGTAATTGGAATACTTCCATTAATAACTTTCTGAAACAAGTATTTATTTTTTTTTTACTGTGCAATGGAGAAAAATGCTCCTAAACCAGGGCTGTTTCAGTTATTTAGCAAATGATATTAATGAAATATTTGCTTATTGCACATGGGTGGAGGCTCAGCATGTTGGTTTGTATAGTTGCTTACATTTTCTTCATAATTACTTTCATATTTCTCTTGTTGTTACCTCTTTAGGAAGTATCTTTACAAGCAGTTTGAATCTAGTTGGTTTATGTGGGTGGTGAACCACACACGACTGCTTCAGCAAATACTGTTTTGGGTTGGCACTATTCTCCCTAGAGGCTGGAGTACAGCGAAAGTGGTTTGGAGTAGGGCAGCAGGTACAGAATCACAGAGTACTTCTCTTTGCATCTACCCAGCTTTGCTGTATAGTGCAGAGAGAGTGGGAGAGTGGAGTTTATAGCTTATAGTCTCCAGGTGACCCAGTGGTGGTGTGTGTGTCTGAAAGGATGGTGAATAAGTAGCCTGTGTGTGGCCCTTGGTGTGACACGTGGGGAAAAGTGCTCTCCCAACTTGAGTGCAGCAACCTAAGAACTATGATGTAGAGTTTTAGCCCTAGGCTCCGTGGAGCTTCTTCCATTATTTTGTGTAGCACTGAGCTCTCTTGTAGTATTTAATGCTAAAAACACACACTTGTTCTCTGAGGCAATTAAGTTTCATTAGAGGGGATTTTTCCCCTTCCTTCAATTAAAAGAATAATTTGGCGACTTTGAAAGATCTTGGCTGGCAGTTCTGGAGGATGCAAGACCTTTGCTAATCTGTTAAGCAAGTTGCCTTTGAAGGCAGAGGTAGTGTGCTGGGGCCAGCACCCTTCTTCCATCTCAGGCAGTAAAATGATAATTCATCTGTTTGGCAATTCCAGCAAGATGTTGGAGTGGTTTCATGTGTGCATTAGTGATGTAGTGAAAGGGAGCCAGGGCTAGAATTCGTCACCCCAACCACCGGAACAAAAGGCTGAAGACACCCTGGGCTTTCTGCAGGCGAATTTCTCCACCTTGCAGCTGATTGTCACGTCTGTGTCATTCCTTGATTCCTGCCCTCCCCTTGCTCTTCCCTTTGAGATCCATATGCACATTGCTGGTGCACGTCCTTCCATTGGAGACAGGGAAAAGCCATTGCCCCCAATTCATTTTAAATAGATGCTGGTAGAGTGAAAGCTCAAAAGATTTATTAATAAATCTAGCCATTCAGATAGTTTGGAGTACATTTACATTCTAAATAAAAATGTAAGGAGACATTGATACTTTTACTTTCCTGTGCTGTAGCCTTTTGGATCTCCAACAAGCTAGTGGAGAGTGCTTTCTACTTGGTGATGACATTTTAAAACACTGAGCAGCAAATTCGTTTATTTTCCTAATGATTTGAAATGAGAAGTTTGTTTCTCTCTGCACGCAGTTCAGTTTTACATCCATGCAGTTCCACTGGCTTTACTGGCATTCTTTGTGATTTACAGCAAAATAACTGACTCCATAATTAAGCTCCTTCTTTATTGCCAAAGAGAGATTGTTCTTGCCATTGGTTCTATTATTCAGATATATGGGAATCCATTAGTACATTTTACAGTAGCTTTAGTATGGAGGACGTAAAATCTCCACAAGTTCTTGGAGTGGAAAGAGGCTGGAGGTGGCCAAAATGGGATGCATTATACAATTGTTAGTTAAGAATTTAAATGTGTGTGTGTAACAAACAATCTGAAGACAAGGATTTACAATGTGATTTTTTTTCAGTGTTTTGTGGTTGAGCTTCCTGTACCGATTGGAATCCTTATCAAAATGTTTGACTTTTTCACATAAGTATCAGTGAGACCAAAAAAATCAGCTCTAGGAGTCATCTGATGGCAAAAGAAGAAATCATGTTTCATCCTATATTTAAGGGGTGATAAAATGTTACTACATGATTGAAAGTATTTGGTTTTGCTGATCAGTTATTTCAGTGAGTGAATATGTCTCAGTGGATTGCAGGATTGGGGTCTTACGTTAGAGCTGCTGTTTGTGCACAGAAGCTCAGAGCTTTCCAGCTGATCCAGGTATAGCTGCAGTGTTCAAAAGGGAGGGCAGGAGGTATTTGAAATACTGATATTGGGCTAGAAAAGGCATTCTAACATCTGTAGCTGGGACTGCAAACAAGCCCTGAAGGGAACACGTGCCCTGAGTACTCATACCAGCACGGTACACAACACATGCCTCTTGCAGTCACTACCAGCAACTTCTGGGGACTGTGTTGGCTGGCCAGTGCCTCCTGCAGGAAAGAGACTGCTTCAGTCTGGTGCTTGCTTTCAGCTCCTCACACCACAAGCCAACATTTGTTTCTAGAATGGAGAACCTGAGTGAATCAGGTTTGGGACTGGCAGACCACTTAATGCTGCAGTGGCCATGTCCGAGTCCTAGTATTGTCTGCAGGGGTTCTACTTAGGGGGAAGTGTTTCATTCCCCTATTTGCTGTGATTCTAGAAATTTAGCAAAGCAAACTTAAGGGTTTTTGTTTGTTTGTTTTTATTTTTTAAGTGTTGATGCCCTTAAGCTAATCTGCAGTTCTATCTGAGCAGGCCATGCTATTTCTCTTCTGGAGAACACAATGGACGTAAAGTCAGCAGGCTTGTTTTGTGCCTTGCAGCTCTCATAGTCATTTACGCATGTGCAAGGGACTGTGATCTGACAGTGTCTGACCCCTGTTGTGCACAAGAGTAACTGATTATGTGAGGTTCAAAGCAGCAGGGAGCCTGATCTGAGGCTGTTTTGTCCAAATAGGACTCTTGTAGCTGATTGTTTTCTTTTTTGTCCCTTTTGGCTTAGTCTGTTGGAAAAAAGCCTACCAGTTCACACACACACACACACACACACAAAAAGTACCCAGAAAAGCCCGCAGGTAAAAATCTGTGTCAAAATAATTGATGTTAAAGATGCTGAGATACGAACATGAAAAGAAGACATCCTCCTATTATAGGTATGCTCTCTGATCTTTTCCCAGAGAAAGTGGCTGCTTAATTTCCACATCTGCTTCCTCTTGCTCTGAACTACAATGTAAATAAATGTGAAATGCTTCTAAATATTTCTCCCAGGTTCTGTGAGTTTGACATGAGGAAACAAATCTCATTTGAGCCATTCTCCATCTTCCTTTCTATTTTCACCTGTAACTCATCCAGTAGAAATTTCAGTTTATTGAGGCTAGTGATAGTCATCCATGAACTATAGTCCTGCACAGCTCGGAGAAGAGGAACAACGGCCTGTGCATTTGTGATGGGTTGTAGTGCAGGGCTTGTTTGCAGATACAGTATAGATACAGTATAGGGAAGAGTTAAATGACCAGCATTGAGAAGCAATGTCCATGTGCTGGACTGGACGTCAGATGTTGTGGTCTTCTTCCTGGTTTTGCCATTGATTCCTGTTTGCAATCGCCTTCCTTCCCATCATTTATCTGTCTCGTCTATTTAGACTGCGGAAGGAGCTGTCTCTTCTCTGTATGTCTTGGACGCTCAGCACATTAGGCATAGTCCAAAAATAATTAATGACATTAGAAGAAATAGGTTGCTGATTTGTGTAACAGAATACTTATCCTGACCATTTGCTAATTTTCAAAGAGGCTAATGAGTACGTCTTTTTTATCAACTGAGCTCAAGATTCTGAAATGTAAAAATTAACATTAAAAAATTAATGTTTCCTTTTTCTCTTGAAATCCTTGTCACTACAGGTACTGCAGCTGGGCTCTGAAATCCTCCCACAGTACAAACAAGAAGCACCAAAGACTCCACCACATATAATTTTGCATTATTGTGTTTTCAAGACTACCTGGGACTGGATCATCTTGATTTTAACCTTCTACACCGCTATTTTGGTCCCTTACAATGTCTCCTTTAAAACCAAACAGAACAATGTGGCCTGGCTAGTAGTGGACAGCATTGTAGATGTCATTTTTTTGGTAGACATTGTGCTTAATTTCCACACCACCTTTGTGGGACCAGCAGGAGAGGTGATCTCTGATCCCAAGCTGATTCGCATGAATTACTTGAAGACCTGGTTTGTGATTGATCTGCTCTCATGCTTGCCGTATGATGTCATCAACGCATTTGAGAATGTTGATGAGGTCAGTATACTTGTTCCACTTCCACCCCCTAATTATAACTTAACATTCGGGACTGGGGAGGGGAGAAGAAAGAAATGGATGCTTTTAGTTAAACATGTTGGATTAGTGTACCTGTGTCTCTAGTAGCTGCCCTCAGCACACATAAAAGTTTTGCTGATGAGTCATAGCCAGAAGGGTCCATCTTTAACTGCAATGGAAGAAGCTGAGGTTTTTGGTGTCAGAAATCCATATTTATTGTCCTTCCTTCTGCATCCTGAGAGTTCAGGAGGACAGGCAGAGGCAGGTGGCAGAACCTGTGTACAGCACCAAGGAAAACTGCTTCATGAGACTTACCATAAACAGCTTGAACTGGTGTGTAAAGATAATTTCTTAGGGTAGGATTCTCTTCCTTTCACTGATGACCAAGCAGGGTATGTTCACTAATGGCAATTCTTCACATGAACAATTGGGAAGTAGAATGCACTTTTCTCAGCTACTTCTAAACTGATATAGCAGGCAGTGACTGACTACATCTTAGATCAACAGAAAGTACTGCCAGGGTGCCTGGTGATCTCTGCTTTGTTGTTTGGGAGCAGTTGTTTTAGAGGAAGATAAAGCATTTGATGCTTGTTTGATAATTACATAATTAGAGGGAAAAGCAGGGAGAAAAATGGAAATCTAGGCTCCTTCTTAATTCTTGCATGTTTATTTGAGAACAAGTCACAAGCCAGCAAAAGAACTAACATTCAAACGCTTAAACCACAATACTATCATTTAACTGCTTATTTTCCTTCTGTATCAAGCTGCCAAGAAAATTTTCCTAAATTAAATGTTACATGAAAGTACTATGCCCAACTAGTTCAGAGAGTTAATGAACTGTTAACAGAATCTTGATGACTACAGCAGTCTACTTTTTAACTATGTCTTATAAAATCTGTATCATCAACTTGTTAGGTGTCTATATTCCTATGTGACGCTAAACCTGTAACATACACGCATATTTCATCAGAGCTTAGTATTTAATATTTAGCCTGTAATATTTATTTTTTATGAGTGTCTTTGAAATATGCCAATGTTATAAAGGATGACCTAGCTGTTGAAAGAAAATTATACCCAGGAAAATATCTCAGTAAAAACATAAAGACTTTGCTTTTATAAAAATACACTACATGGTTTGTTTATCTAATTTAAAATATTTTTCTCTATGACTTGAGGATAAGTAGGAAAACTATTGGATATAGGGGAACAAACACGATGTTATTTGATATTTATCTCTCTAGAGAGATTTTCATTTTATATAAAGCTACAGGCTGAAGTAAGACAAATGAGAGCATGCAAAAAGCCTTGTGAGACCTGTCCTTAAGTATTTGTTTGTCATGAAATGCATTCAGGCTGCAGATTCAGGGCTTTCACATGTTACTTTACCGTGGCACTGATAAAGCAATGGAGAGAGTGGCCATACATCAGTTTCTGACATTTAGACTGAAAGATTAAAAAAAAAGGGGGAGGGGGGAGTTGGAGAGCTTTTCTCACTCTTTGCAAATAGTAGCAACCTGCTAATGATTTTGCTGGAGGGACATTTCACAACTGGAGACTGGTGATGTGACCTACAGAACATCCCTAGGGAAAATGGCTGTACCAGAGGCCACACAAGCCCCTGAGCTGAGCAGACTCCCTGCTCTGAAATTCTTGTTATGGGGGTTTGAATTTCTCCAGGTTCTTAGTCTCCGTGTTGCATTGTAACAATGCGGAGCTGATTGGTGCTTCACTTTTCCTGTGGGTCTTCAACAGTCTCCTTAATCAGTATAAAAGTGTTAGTTTTAGTTATTCTAGCCATCATGCCCAAGGAAAAAAAAATCTTGATGCTATCCTTTCAAGACTGTTCATCTCTGTTTTCCCTAGTGGGTTCTGACGTTTAACTGGTGTAAATCATTGCAGGGCCATTAGAACAGAGTTTCCACTGGTGTAAATTGCTGCTCTTCTGTTAAGGGCTCGTAGACTGGTTTACAGGCCCTGAGGGGCTTTGCCAGCAACGTCAGCAGAATAATGTAGTGCACATCAGGTGGGGATTTGGGACAGTGCATGCTGATCGCTGTTTTGTGAACTGCCTGTAGAGAAAAAGATAACCTCTTATTAAAAGAAGAAAAAAAAAGCCACGTTCAAGGAGTCTTGAGAGCAGAAAGGCCTTATCTTATCCAGTCTCTGCCACGTACAATATTCCCTTCTGGGCCAACTCCCTTTCTCTTGTTCTTGCTGGTTTAAATTTTACTTGTCTCTCACCCTGTTTTACATGCCGTATTACTTCGCTGTTGGATTAAGTCAGCTGCAGGGCTGAGGTGCTGAAGTTACAAGTGGCCAGACTGGGTTGGTATCCATGTGTTACTCTGACTTTGCTAAAGGTAATTCCCTTGGCACTATGAGAGTGCAGTCAGTGGGTGGCTGTGGCTGCTGTGAGGTTTTTTTCTGGTGAACACGCTCAAAAAAATTTTCAGGGATTAAATGATGCCTACTGTCAGCAGCAGCTGTAAAATGAGATAAAGACTATGAATTGCAACTTTCCTTTGTGGGTGTTTTCCATATGTGATTTTAAACATGAGGAAATATAATCCTGGCTTTGTTGCAGTCTCTATAGTAAAGGTAGACTGGGGCAGGTTAAAATTCACTGTTTTTTCTGCCTGTTATTTTGTGTTAAAAGAAACATCACCAAAAACACTGAAGACGTCATGGAGGAACTAACTTGACAAGTCGGTTTGTTTCTAAGAGTGACATTATTACTGTGAAAGAGACGTTGAATTAATTTGCAGTGGACACAAGATGTGGACCTGATGAAGTAAAAAGCAGTGTAGACAGGGTGTTGAGACTTTTGGGTCTTTGGGTAACTTTGGGACTGTTCCAACACTTAGCTCTTGATAGATGAGTAGTGAAGCCATTGTTGTCTTCTTTCAGGTGTTCCTATAATATAAGATTAATTATAACATATGAAACTAGAGTTGATCAATATTTTTGACAGGAAAATACTTATTTAAAAAGAAGTCTGATTTTTTCTCTATTTTGAAACAACTTTTTGTTTTGCAAATTTACCTCAATTCTCATATAAAACTTAAAGGAATGATTTTAAGCCTATTTCAGAATTATTGGGTTTATTACAATTTGGAACATTACTATATTTTCCATTCACATTTTTAAAACATAATTGAAATTCCAGTTTCTTCTTTGTACTGTTCAGAATATTTTTTCCATAAAAATTCTTTGAATTCATTAACTATTAATCAACACAACTATTAACAACTACAATTAATACAAGAGGAACTTAGGTATGAATAACCACATTCCACAGGCGGAAGAAGAAAGAAAAAACAGTAATGTCTTTGTTCAAGGCTGTGGAATTGAGAGTCTCAATATGAGAATATCTGAAATTTTTATCTCAAGTGCTATACTGAAGGAGAGTGCAGCATCTCATATTCAAACGTGAGCAGAATCCAACAAATGAAGAAACATGTAGCTGCAGAGAAATTTCCATTGCTACCCAAATGAAAGAAAAGTTATAAATGTTTCTCCTGTTTGTTTTTTGTTTGTTTGTTTTTCTATATGATGAGCTGATTCTACAGTTAAATAGAAATTACTTTCATGACCTGCATAGAACTTCAAGAATATATTCCATTGATTGATGAGTCAACGTAATGCTAGGCTTAATCTTTCTCCTGTTAAAACAATACAACATGCTGTAATAGAGTTTGAGTAAGAAAAGAATACATTGGTCTAAAATTTACACAGCTCTTAAAACTTGGTATTAATATCTTTTGAATTCGAATAATGACAATAACATTTGTCAGTGATCCTTTACAGTAATTAGTATTATTCCTCATGTAAGGAAATACCACCTACTTTGGGGGATAATGTTATCTTTTTGTGTTCAGACATCAGTCAGTTGATTTAATAAAAGACAGGCTTAAACAAAATTCCACAATTTTTGCCAAGAACAATGCAATCTAAGTCTTCAAATTCCAAAGGCAATTTGAAGTCTTTTTTGCAGTGTCAGCTTGAGCAATTTTATACTGTGGTTTTCAGCCGTAATACCATAAGATATAATTTATATTGGAAAAAATTTGACGTTACATGTGACACCGTTGTGAAATTTCATGGTAGGAGTGGAATCCAGTCATGTCAATACAATATAAATCTCTGAAACAGCAGTTTTTACTACCAACTCCCTATATGTATTTGAATCAAACACTGATCAACTGTTGGCTGATACCAAAGTGAGAACCATATATTATTCTTATGAAATGGGACCGGCACTGTTTAACACCTGTGTCGGTGACATGGACAGTGCGACTGAGTGCACCCTCAGCAAGTATGCTGATGACACTGAGCTGTGTGGTGCGTTTGACACACTGGAGGGAAGGGATGCCATCCAGAGGGACCTGGACAGGCCTGGGAGGTGGGGCAGTGTTGAACCTCATGAGTTTCAGCAAGGCCAAGTGCAAGGTCCTGCACCTGGGTCAGAGCAATCCCAAGCATAAATACAGACTGGGCAGAGAATGGATTGAGAGCAGCCCTGAGGAGAAAGACCTGGGGGCATTGATTGATGGGAAGCTGAACACGAGAAGGTATTATACATTTGTAGCTTAGAAAGCCAACTGTGTCCTGGGCTGCATCAAAAGCAGTGCAGCCAGCGGGTTAAGGGAGGTGATTCTCCCTGTTGTGAGATGCCATCTGGAGTCCTGCATTCAGCTCTGGGCTCTTCAGCACAAGATGGACATGAACCTGTTGGAGCAGGTCCAGAGGAGGGCTGTGAAGATGACCGAGAGGCTGGAGCACCTCTCTGATGAAGACAGCCTGAGGGAGTTGGGGTTGTTCAGCCTGGAGAAGAGAAGGCTCTGGGGAGATCTTACAGCAGCCTTCCAGTACCTAAAGGGGGCCTGCAGGAAAGCTGGGGAGGAGTGATAGGACAAGGGGGAATGGCTTTAAACTGAAAGAGGGGAGATTTAGATTAGATTTTAGGAAGAAATTCTTCCCTC